AACAACTTGATCTGCTTGCTTAATTTATCATATATATTACATTTTTTTTATTTTTTTATTAAAAGAATATAAGCCTAACATGACAAACACCTTTTAATAAGGCACAGTGAGGGCATGTAATGCAAATTAACTTATCTCCTATAATATCCATTTCAGGTATGTCAAGCTATGGTTTACAGGAGTTGTAATCCATTTACAGATGGTCCATTTGTGACTATGATTATTCAGTTTCTAATTATTAAACTTGCCCATTCCATTTTCCATTACATCATCTGCACACATTCATATTTCACAGACGTTTTACAGATAGCATCAGTTTCTCAGCCTGATTGTCCAGGTCTAAAGGTTAATAAATAAATGCATCTTTTATGTGAGCTAATCGCCAATACCATTTTACCTGGCTTTAAAACACTATTATTAGAAATTATGATCTGCTATTTTGAACATTCAGTTAAACACTGGTCCACCCTCCCTTATATTTTTAGTCTTGTATTCACTAACGTGAAAAATGTTTTTCAAGTGAATTCCAAGTGAATTCAATGTGAATTTCCCATTTAAATCCAAACAAGCTGAAATGAAAGCAAAGCTGAGTTCGTGAATTTTTACAGTTTGTCTGTTTTGGCCTTAAAGGAACATTTCAGTGTTAGGAACACAAACATGTCTTGCTGACATTATAGTGTTCCCCAACCTACTTCCTTATGTAGGTGTCCAACCCCTAAGGTAAGATTTACTTACCGTGTACCTTGCAGCATGCTAATCTCTGTGCTGAGGCTCCACCTACTCAGCTGAGATCATCAAGATCGATGATCTCAGCCAATCCAATGTTTTCCCATAGGCTAGTGTGCATGCTTGGCAAAGCACTGTGCTGCACCAATAAAATGATCTCAACGAGACCATCTGATTGAATTGGACGTATTGGAACGGAAACGCCTCTACAGGCTGTCAGTAAGACAACCACTTGAGAGAGAGGCATGTTAACCCTGCAATGTAAAACCGGCAAAATGGCAATGTTTTCAGTTGCAGGGTTAAAAAGACAGGAGCATGGCACCCTGACCAATTCATTGAGATTAAATGGTCTAGTTGCTCATATTTCAATTTCAATTTGAAATTAATTTTGAATTCACTTTAAGGTTATTCACTAAAGTGATAATTGTCGAGAATTGTAGATTATGCTAACGTAGTGTACAGATAATCTTAATTTTAATAATGACAGGAGGCGAGTATTTTGCATAAACTTTCTTTACTTTATGCCTCCAGCAGCACAAGTCAATCAATCAAAAGAAAATGTTTTAACCAATCAGAGTCCAGCACATCTAGTATATAAGTCCCTGACAGGCTCTCCATTTCCTCTTTCTTTGATGTATCCATGCCCAGAGAAAACTTCCAATGTTGTGTTGAAGAAACTTGAACCATAGAAACTTGATAACTTGCGGAATAAACTGTGCAACCGATTTCCCCTTCACCATGTGATGTCAAGCTGAAAAACATAGAAACAAGTGAAAGGTTTTGGAAAACAACTGTTGTCCACATACCACATCTTCTCTAAGCTGTCCACATGAAATGCTGTATAATGTTTTTATTTCTTGAATAATGTAAACCTGAGTCTATCGTGTGATACAACTGTGATCTGAGAGTGTTGTGTCGATTAGCTATCGTCATGTGAGTGTCCTTTGGTTCCGTTTTTACCTTCATTCTACAGTATGTGTCTCTCGAGTAATACTTACCAGTGGACACCCCCAAGAGTATAGGGCGGGAGAGAAAAAGTGGAGGGAAAATACTCGCCACCTGTCATTATTAAAATTAAGATTATCTGTACACTACGTTAGCATAATCTACAATTTTATTACATGACAGGAGGCTTCCTATTTTGCATTTTTAACGCTGAGGTAAAAACGCAAAGGACGCGTGCGATGATTGGCGAAAATAAAATACCCTGACGGTATGTTCCCGTGTCCAATCCGCAGTACGTAAAATATCGGTCAAAGAGGCTCCCGTCAAAAAGGCCCTAGATGCCGCTGCCCCCCTGACTGAATGGGCCCCAAAGCTAGTGTCAATTCCTGCTAACGATAGTAACCATCTTATCCACCTGGCTAGTGTAGTTGTAGTAACCGGTTTGTGAGGTTTGGTGTACGAGATTAATAATTGTCCGGATCCCGAAGCCCGAAGGGGCGCCGTGACCTCAACATATCTGAGCAGTGTATCGACGACACAAAGACGAGGAACCATCGGAAAAAAGGGGTAGGACACGGATTTGGAGTCCGTCTTTGTCCTGCGTGAAATCAAAAACGTAACACCGACGGGGGTTATAGAGAACCCGTCTACATCGAATGCCCGAACATCCGAAACTCGCCGAAATGATACTAAACATAACAACAAAGTGAGCTTGGCTGTCAATTGTCTGAGTGACAGGGCCGTGTTATCAGGCCAGTCCCGGATGAAACTAATAACCACGTCTACATCCCATAGACGTTGATACTTCGGAGCTGGTGGCCTGGCTAATTTGATGCCCCGTAATAGTCTGCACACTAATGCTTCTTGGCCCACTGGGGTACCGTTGATAGGGATGTGCGCTGCTGAGATAGCGGAGCGAGTAACATTAATAGATCGGTATGATTTTCCGTTGGAGAAAAGGTATGAAAGGAAATTTAGTATGGCTGAGACAGGTGCGGTAAAGGGATCAAGACACCGTCCCAAACACCAGCGGTCCCATACATTCCATGCTGCCATGTAGCTCCGTCTTGTACCCGGTGCCCATGAGTCCCATAAGAGATCTTTAGTCGTTTGCGATAGATCTGGGACTGCCCAAGATCCCCTGAATGAGTCCAGACTACTAATTCTAGACGGTCCTGCACTATTAATGGGTGAGGTTCCGCACTCGGGTTCGTGAGAATCGTTGGAAAAGTTGGTAGTACTAGTGGATGGTCCTGTGACAATGCCAGTAGGTCCGGGAACCACGCTTGGCTTCTCCACAGTGGTGTTACTAATATCAACGATGTTTTGGACATCCGTATTTTGTGTAGTACCATTGCCAACATCGAAAAAGGTGGGAAAGCGTATGCTCCTACCGATGGCCAGTGTTGTAGGAATGCGTCTACCGCCTCGCTCTGCGGATCCGGTAGCCAGCTGTAATACCTTGGCAGTTGCGCATTCGTGCGTGATGCGAAAAGGTCTATGTGTAGTGGTCCCCTGAGTGTTCTCACCATGTCGAAGATCGTTGTATTCAGCTGCCAATCGCTGTTGTCCCGCCAATGACGTGAAAACCAGTCCGCTGTGAGATTGTTGAGACCCAGTAAGTACTCCGCTCTGACCGTTATATTGCGTGGAAGACAAAAACGATATATGTCCTTGGTAGCCTCTGTCAAGGCCCGTGACCTGGCTCCCCCCAGGTGATTCACGTACTGGACCGCCGATATGTTGTCCATACGTAGAAGTATGCAACAATCGGACATGTTCTTGGCTAGGCTGCGGATAGCAAAGGAACCGGCTATCAGTTCCAGGCAATTGATGTGAAGTTGTTTATCTTCTTCCGACCATGGTCCCCCCGTGGATGAGTGCGCACAGTGGGCTCCACAACCCCATAGGCTGGCGTCCGATTCCACTACAAAGTCCGGATTCGGGCCAAAGATGGCTCTGCCGTTCCAAGCTTCCATGTGGAGGAGCCACCAACGGAGCTCCGTCCGTACCTCCGCAGTCAATTCAATTTCCTGATTGTACGAGTGTCCCCGTCTGAGATGGAGAGCTTTCACCCTCTGCATGGCCCGATAGTGAAGGGGTCCCGGGAAGATCGCTTGTATGGAGGATGACAGCAGACCTATTATCCTGGCCAGGAGCCTTAGGGGGACCGTGTCTCTTCGTAGAAAACGTCTTATCTCCTTCCGAATGTTCGCAATCTTCGACTTGGGAAGGCGCAGCGTGCATGACACTGAATCTATCTCGAATCCGAGAAATTGAACAGTTCGTGATGGGGAGAGTGACGACTTCTCTTTGTTCACTATGAAGCCTAAAGATTCCAGAAAGTGCACTATAGATTTCGTCTGAGATCGAAGTCTGGATTCGCTATCGCAGAATATCAGAATGTCGTCTAGGTAAATTAGGCAGCGAGTACCCAATGTCCGTAAATGCGCCACTGCCGGCTTGAATAGTTTTGTGAAGCACCAAGGTGCGGAACTGAGTCCGATGGCGTGCTTGGAAAGGAGTGTCCGTAAAATCTATCTCGTAGCCCCTGATCGTTCTTAGGATCCAGGCATCGGATGAAATCTTTTCCCAATTCTGTGAAAAGAGAGACAGTCTGCCAGCAGTTAAGTGAGAATGGCAATGTATTGGTGTTTGACTGCTCACCTGTGTTGATGCGTCCGCAGCCGCTGGTGCGGGCGCGTGCCCCTCTGGGACGGAAGGTGCCTCTAGTGAACGGTGGTCTTGATGGGAAAAAAACTTGCGACGCTTGGTTTATGGGGCCTGTCGGCCAGAAGCGGCTGGTGGCTCGGCCCCGTTGGCGACCAGCCCTGCCGAAAACCCCTCTGTATATTGTGGGCTTACGGAAAACTTGATTGATCGAAGTTTGAGCTTTGCTTAAAGTAGTGAAGAGGTTCACGTGCTTCTTCAATTCGCCAATGAATGGCTCCCCAAACAATTGGCCGTTGGCTTGTGGGCCCAACTCCTTTTTCCCCAGCTCCAGCAGTTTGGAGTCCATTTTGAGCAGAGCGGCCTTGCGTCTCTTCGTACATAGGGCTGCGTTAGTATTGCCCAACATGCAGATCGCTCGTTGAGCCCATTCCTGGATGTCATGGGCATCTAGAGCACTGCCTCCAGTGAGGGCATCATCGGCAAGATATAACATCTTTGCTAGTGGGCCCAGCATGTCTAAAAGCTTATCCTGTGACGCCTTGAGGCCCTTCTCGATGCCTTTGCACGGGTCACGGCCCGCTCGTGACATGAACAAGACTACCGTAGTGTCAAATTCTGGGGTATGAGCAATCTTCCTCGGACGGTGAATCCTCCACCTTCCATTCATCCATAAACTCTAGTGCAGGAGGTGGGTTATGCTCCTCCTCATCAGAAGATGACAGTGGGAGGGTAGAAGGGTCTTGGCGTTCCGCCTGGCGACTCCTTTTCAATGGGGCCTTGCCCTTCGATTTTCGTGGGGCTGGGCCACTACCTTTCCAATGTCTCTTGGATGAGACCAGGTCCCCTGTAGACCGTTCCAGGTCTTTAGTATCAGGATCCTCGCCTGAATTATGGGCCCATAATTTGGCTATAGCCTTCTCCATGGAGGCCGCTACCGCGGAGTTGATCATCGACTGAATGTCGGGCTGTGTGGGTTGAGAAGATTCACTCATAATGACACTGTCTGTCTGTGGGAGATAGGACAGGGTCAGTTACCGAAATACTGGAAAGTAAACGGTAATAAAATATTGTGGCCTTCCACTTACAACTGGGGTTCCCCAGTGTATATAGAATGGACCCAAACGTTTCGCAGACCGGTCCTGTATGTATTGCACCGTTGGCTGTAATCATGGGCTAGTGAGGGGGTCACCCTCTGTGAGACCGGGATGAGCGGTCATAAATTAACAGGTGAAATTCGTTCAGCCTGTGTCGTCCAATAATAAAGCTCTGGGACATGCCCCAATAATGATAGCCCAATGGAAACCTATTATCGCAGGTTCCGCCTCCGTTGTCTGGAGGATTTTTACGGGTCACCCGAGTCGTAATGTGGAGGGTGTCGGTGTTATTATCTGCAGAGTATGAATAGGGGGGTCACCCCAATATTTGTTACAGCTTGGTGCAGTGTCAGCACACGCCTGGGTGCAGGGGGGTCACCCCTTTAATCACAATAACCAGTGTGCTTGTGGGGGGTCACCCCACTCAGAGGGGTCACCTCTGGAGAGTACACTTATGCTGACAAAATCAGAGTGTGTCTCTTTAACATAATATATTTATTATTTATTCTGTATTGTAATTTTATTTCCACAGATTAACTTTTGTATATGTAGCAGTCACAATTGTCCACTTGACTGTCCCTTTAAATGCAGAGCAACGTGAGGTAAGCAGATGTGTATGTGTTTAAATGATGGATGAGTGTAGTGTGACTGAATGGCCGACCGTTTGAATGACGGTTTGCCAGTAACCAAAATGGCCGACTTGGATCTCGCGGTCTTCCGCGAGATCCAAGATGGCCGCCGTTCGCGCCAAAAAGCTGAGCGGTCCGCGGTTGCGGTGTTAGCCGCGATCGTGGCCGCCAGCAAACAGACTACAGAAAAACTCCGGTCCTCCCTGCTCCCACCTCCCCACATGGATCCCCCCCCCCAGAGGTAATCCCTGCACCTAACGGTGAGCGCGATCGCGGCAGCTACCCGCGATCGTGCAGTGAAAATAAATCTCCAGCAGGGGAAGGAAGGAATACAGGGAGAGGAGAGGCAGAGAGGGAAAGCAGAGAGATAACTGCTGTCTGTAATTAAATTCAATCTAAGAAAAACTGGAAATTTAAACTTCTAACAACTTTAAGAAAAAACAAGAGCTATGTATCAATAAAATATGAATAATAATAATAAAATATGAATAATAATAGTAGAAAATTAGTAGAAAAAATCAATACTCTGACCTGTGCCTTGGCTGGAGCAGCAAAGAAAGAGGAAATGGAGAGCCTGTCAGGGACTTATATACTAGATGTGCTGGACTCTTTAAAAATAAAGTCAGTTATGCTAACAATTGGACTATGTTGGCCTTATATTTGGAAGCCACATTGAATTCACTTTGAAATTTCCAACAATTTTCATTTTTAGAATAACCCTGTTTGAATTTTCAATAACTCTCATTTTAGTGAATAACTGTGTTTGAATTCGCAACAATTCTCACTTTAGTCTGTGTGTCCCTGGGTACATTGTCAATGATGAGATTTGTTTTAGAGAGGTGGTGAAAAGGATTTTTCTGATACAAACCGTTAGCTTCTTCATAGATAAAACCAATAAACAATAGTACAATAAAATAGATACATAAACAAACAGAGTACTAAATTTAAAATAAACAGTTTGATGAATAATCTGAAAACATTATTGTTAATATAATGTTCAAGGGAGGGGGTGTATTTTTCATGCAGGAGAAAGTAGCACCATGTGAGTTTCTTGAAACAGAAAATCATTGTATCTATAATTAAAAAAATATATATATGATAAATGCTTTAACAACCAGTTTGCATTTGTTTAAGCAAGTAGGATATGCTGAGTTCAAGAGTTTAATTTGTCATGGTTTGTCTCAAACCACGCAATCAGCATCACGGGAAATAGAGTAATACTTGTAGTCACATGGATGCATTGCGTGTTTCATCAAAATTAATCTTTTGTGGGCAAATTCTTATCTATATTTTTTTTCCAGGCTAACAAGCACAAAAAAGTTTAGAATTGTGCAAAACTAAAAAAAAAAAAAATACTGTCCAAAGGACTCTATTCATTTATGATATGAAAACGAACCAAACATTATAGGTAGAATATTTCTACAATTTTAGGTGACAAATCAATAAAGGCATAATAAGTAAACACACACATACAGTATTTTTTTTCAATATTTGCAATGTTATTGTTTTATAAAAATACATAACATAATTTCACAGTTGTACACATTGTATATAGGCTGTAGTAAGAGTACAGACAAGAAATAAGGGGAAAGGGATAACAATAATGTGCAAAGTATAGTGCAGTCAGAAAACTTAATTTATTTAAACTTAATTTATTTTAAGTCTTCTATATATTACCTAAAGTTATTAACTAAAATGAATTGTAAAGCACACTTTATATATAACCAGGTATGTATATATAAAGAGTTAGTTAATTTTCATTATAGTGGAGTTTTAAAATACTCTTGAATGATTTATGTGCCCTGAGTAAAGTTTGCACAATGACATATGATGTACCCAATCTGTGCTAACTGGGGACTTGACCCCTGGTGTTTCCAGAATTAGTACAGACCAAACATTGAAAGGTGATACAATACCTTACAAACAGCAATGGGAATATTTTATTAAGTATATGGAGATATCAGCTGAATAGCCGGTGAAAGAAAAATGATAACATCGAATGCCAAGCAGTTATAACACTGAATTAAATATTGAATATTGAATACTGAATTAAAATCAAACAAAATAATTGAAGTGAATTATAGGGGTACATTTCAGGAGCCATAGTGTGCTGGGAAAGGAAAAAGGAAAAGAAAAAGAAAAGAAGTGGAGGAGGAAAAAGAGATGGACATATTCACTAAGTGGTTATTTTAACAAATAATCCTGGTTTATAATTCACTCTGACAAAACGAGCTGCGAACGGCTGTGTGCACATAACAAAATGGAAAATACAAAAATCTGATGGTAGATTAAAAAAGAAAGAAGCAGATTCTAAAAATGAGAAAGAGATTTCTACAATTTTCTCCCCCCAGGGAATTAAGAGAACAGATATAACAAACAATATTTCAACTGGAGAAGTGGAGAGCAACCTGGATATATCGGATAGACTCTCATTTGCCTCTACTAAACCAATCTCACAGATAGATCCTGTACAGCCAGAACCTTGCTCAATAACCCAGGAATATTTGCAAGAATTTATGACCACGCAATTTTGTTTGTTTAAAGCGCAATTAAATAAACTGTTCTCATATATGAAGGACAATATTTCTGTACTAGGTGAAAGAATTAAAATAAATGAGCAAACGAATGATGCAATAATGTTCAAACTAAAAAAAGTCCAGGACATTAGCATTGAGAAAGGGCTGCTGATCGAAACGTTTGCTGCATTAACTTTGTCCTCAAATAAATTGTGGTAGCACCTGGGTGTGCACACCTATACTGGATGCGCAGGACTCATGTTTGTTTTTTGGTTGTAAAGTCCAATGCGTTTCATTAAAGAAAAAAGTTCAAGAATTGGAAGAAAAATCGACTGATATGGAGGATAGAACGCGAAGGAAGAATTTAAGGATTCAAGGCATGAATAAAAATATAGAACCTCATAAAATAACAGAATTTCTACCAGATATCTTTAAAGATATGGGTGTTCAAGAAGCAGGAAAGGAAGAGATAATTGAACAGGTACATAGAACATTAAAGCTTTAGGGCATTTCAGAGGTTGCCCCACGAGATATAATCATTCGGTTCTCATTGTATTATATGCGTCAGAAGATTTTTAATGCCTCAAAAACTTACAAACCAAAAGAAGACAAATTAAAACATGTAGCCTTCTATCAAGATTTTTCTAATTATACAAGAAGGAAAAGATTTGCATTTAAAGATTTTAGTGCAACTCTCATAGACATATTAAATACATCTGGGGGTTCCCTTTTAAAATAATCTTATGGTAGGAAGATCAATGACATAATATACTGTCAGCAGAAGATGGCCATAAATGGTTGGAACTAAACCCTGTAAAATAGGAACCCAATAAAAACTGAACTGGAACAAGAAGATATGTATAAGAAAGACAGAGGCCTTTTTTATTTTTTTTCACTTCGTTCTTCTCTTAGGAACACAAGTTAAATAAGGATTATAATTTTGTGAATGGGGGGAGGAAAGGTGAGTAAAAGAAGAGTTATAAAGTTACAATGTAATGGTTAAAGCACATAACACTTAAAGTATAGAAGGGAAGGTGTGTGGCAGAAGCAGTATTATGAGTGGAAATTATGTCTCAACATTTTTTTTCTCTCTTTTTTTGTGGGAAGGTATAAATGTATTTAGACTAATTATTAAAGTGAGACATAAAATATTTCAAATGAACACATAACTATACACAATCACATAATACACAGTCATATATATGGTAAAGAAAATAAGTAATTATCTTAATGGCACACACAGCCACATAAAGTCACAAATTGGAGATAAAAGGAAAGAAAAGAGAAGGAAAAAGAAGGGGGAAAAGGGGTAAGCCTTAATGAATATTTGTAGACGAGTAGTAATAGGAGATAATAATCTTTAGAATTTAAAGAACACATTATTTAAGATACTCATTTTTTGTTTTTTGAATAAAGGGAAATAGAGAAAGGGGAAGAGAGAAGGAAATAATGATTATTACAGTGAGATATAATAATTATTATTTTTTTAGTACCCTTCTCCGGTTAAAGCCCCTTTTGAATAATATTCTTTGATTAATCTTTTGGTCTCCTTTTCCTGCCAAAGCCCTGTTGAATAATATACTCTAAATAATTCTAATTCTTCTAACTTTGAATTTCTAATCTTAACTTCTAATTCCAATTCTAATTTCTATAAATGCTGATAAACACAAATGATAGGGATGATGCTTTAACTATTAAAATAAATCTTTTT